ATACATACATACATACATACATACATACATACATACATACATAATCTGATACTGTTTACACAGAGGTCTACAAGTCACGCCTTCATCTAATCTGGGTAGGAGGAGCCTCAAGGGCGAGCCTCAAGGGTGTGTCTTTAATGCTTGTAGACCCCGTCAGATTGGATCCTGACGGAGTCATACCATGCCTGGATGATGTCTCCACCATCCCGAGAAAGGGTGTATCAGGTAAGTAACCAATGCCCATTTTCTTCCTTCTCCCCATGAAGTCACATGTTTGTGCTTTCTACTGCCATCTTGTGCATAAGTTGTACTAATGTGACTTTAATTTCCTCATTCCATTCTTGCGATCTGGTTATCAAAGCACATGCAACTTCATGTTTGTTCCATATGACTGTGATAACATTGTCTTCTGTCAACTTGAAAGAGCTGCACCACAACCACATATTGAAAGGAACCTTTTGAGAAATATATCCACAAATATAACTTCTCCTTCAGTACATTTGTTTCTCAGGCCTTTTGCAGCCAATATTGTAGACCAACAAACCAGGCACAAGAAATAGCTGTGAGAAGGAAGAGAGCAAAAGTTGTCCTATGTAGCCTTGCTGGACCTTATGCCGCATCAAGTGGTGAGAAATTAATTAACATAATTAAAATGCTGCTTTTAGTTTGCAAAAGGTACTTGGAACATCAGTACAGAGCCAGTTCCAAGAAGTTAAACCAGCAGTAAAATGGTGCCAATGAACTCCCAAATTATTTTTCATGATTATTTTGACTGGTTTGATTTAGGGAGGGGTAGCGGGAAATCAAAGCATACCAAAAGTTTACCCCTTCAACCAGGGGTTATTCATTGCAGGAACTATCAATAAGCCATCAACCTTGTGCAAAATGTTCTAAGATGCTTTTCATGAATTATTTTCAGGAGCCCTTGGGCTCTTAAAAGTCAGTCTTGAATGCCATTCTGCTTCCTACAGACAGGTTTGTCTAACATCTTTTTTCATGGAAAAGTTACTACATGATGATGATAACTTTATGTTTCTTAGGGCTGTGCAAATTTTTTTTTTTGGTTCAAAAGTTTTATTTTCTTTTAAAACAAACATTTCATCATTCCATCAGTAAGACATCGGAGTACAATTTTTTGTGTGTCAAAATAGTTCTAGTTAACCACCAAATTTTTCAAGTAAGGTGCTTTGCAAGGCACAGGGAGCATGAGTATCTCTCTTCAACTCATTAAAACAATACCTTTTTTCCCCAGGCTTGCACACCTTTTTTGTAATCTGCAGCAACTGTCTATACGCCCTATGCAGGAAACCAAGGATAGGCAGGAGCATCCAAGGTTAGCAAACAACATTTTTTTTATTTGTCATATTTAAGAATTGTCAATTTCTTCATAGAGGGACTGGACAATGTACAATAAGATATTAAAAGCATAAAAAACAATATATAAACTTTAAAAGCGGGATGGTAATTCATTAAAAGGTGGGGGAAGAGCTCTTTCAGAGCATCAATCAACTCCACTGTGACATGCTTATCTGAGCCATGCTTTTATGCTTGCACAGAAGGGCAGGCAAGTGGGGGCCTGCTTCAGGTCCAGGGGGGAGCAGGTTCCACAGTGCAGGGGTGTATCGCCTCTTAACAGTTCTAAAAGAGGAGCTTCATACCCCTCTGGGACTTGGCCCTATCACAGAGCCTACTATACTTGCAGAAAAGGGTAGGTAATCTCTTCTGAAGTGTGTGTGTGTGTCTGAGAGAGAGAGAGAGAGAGAGAGAGAGAGAGGGTGGGGTGGGGTGCACGTACTTCTTTTGGTCCTTTTAGCATCATTTTTCTTTAGTTACAATACTAAAATATTATATTTTTCTAGATTTGTGTTCTAAACCATGTTTTTCCAGTAACAGAACTTTACATTCAAATCTAGGGTTCTGAGTTATCAAGATTTGGTGAATATGGTAAGGGGTTTGTGGATTAGTTTCCATTTTCATGGAATGAGATAGAGAGCAATTTGTGATATATTGACATCGTTCTTGAATCCCAAAACATCTGATTCCTCCATGATTTAACCATGATGGCATTTTTTTGCTATGTTTTATTGATTAATTTATAATCCCATAAATTCACAATAATCCAATAATTCACAAACCACCATGCCACCTTGTGAATGAACTCATGCTCTGACTCCAGATCAACCTCATGTACACGTGCATAGTTCAAAGGAAAGAAAATGGGTAAAAAAGGGGAAAATGTCTCACAGAAAACCTAAATAGAGATTTACCATGGCAGAATATTAATTCTATTCCACCTTTGCCGCATGATCTATTAAAAAAGGCATTTCTGAGCCTCCCCTTCCCTAAGTGAAACTGGGCACTGAATGTGTTAGTGTTGCCTTTTGCTCTCAGAACCTTTTCTCCCTTCTCCTCTGTTCTGGCAAAAGTCTGATCCTCACCATCCCTTTCATTCCCTGGGTTCCTCCTGCATGAGAAATGAATTATTAATGGTGCATTAAACAGAGGCTGGCCCAGGGCCAAGGGATGGTGCTAATCAGAAGCTAATTGAGGGAGAAATTAGATACTGTTCCCAGCTGCCTGAAAGATGAGGGGTGGATGGCAGCCTGCTAGAAAAGGTGACCCCCATGACAAAAATCACAAATTCGCCGGCAGGGCCATGGAACACGGCTGGTTTGAATGCTGCTCTACACCATCTCCTCTCCAGCCACATGGCCATCCATTCTTTTCCATCTCCTAACCCACTTCCTATGCTGTTTACTTCCAAAGCCAGCTTGAGACAAGGTGTTGAGACCTGGGCCCTGTATTTGATGGTGTAGATGAACACACACGTTATTATCATAGTAGTTCTGTGCGGGGCTGAATTCCTTTTATTGGATAGCACAAGAAAGTCTGCCACTGTGGCCAATGGTTTGAGATTTGTACTTTCAGACTTGCAAGATTCTTATCAATGTAACTTTACAAAAAAAGTAGAATTGGCTCATCTGGTCGTATTTCCTATCTGATCTACCTGGTAAGGCTGACAAGTTCTGAGAGGAGCTGAGTGAAATTTATTAGGGGAAAAGAGCAGATTGATTT